TGGTCCCAAGGTCCAGTCATCAACACAGAGTCGTTAGTATTGAATACAGGGGCTGAATTCAAACAGTCCACAAAGTGAAGCAAAGATAGATGAGTAATGTTAGACCAATAAATGTACTCAGTGGCACTCACTGCAGATGCATGGGTCAAAGCAGCTAATATTGCCAGAGAAAGATTAGCAGATGACATAGGATCTGGGTGTCCTTAGAATATCTTTTCCTTTGGTGTATAGGTTCTTACACTGGCCCCGGGTGGGCCAAACAGAGTTCTGATGATATGGTTGATATCTCCTTTTGCCCATTAGCTGAAGAGTTGCCATCTTTCCTGTGACTTCCACTGTCTTCTAACCCTGTTCTTGATAGCCCACAATCAGAGCTGAACAGAAATCCATAAATTTTCAGTGGATCTATCTGCAATGAAAGACGCATATCCCTTCCCAAATTTTCAGCCAACTGGACTTCAAGTCTCAAACTGGTTAAACCAACAGGCCTATCGAAAGGCAGTTCAGAACACTCTGTAGAGAAATGATTTTGAGCTTTCAAACATATATAACCTGGGGATTAACTTTAAAATTTAAAGTACCCCTTGGTACTTTCCCTTCTTAATTTTTTTAAAAATTACTGTTTTAATATGCTATGTTCACTTTCAATTATATCCTGGCCTTGAGGATTTTAAGGAATGCCTAATTAATACTCCATTATTTACAAGTCTTAAATATTGTATTAGTATATGCTATTCCATGGCAAGTTGTATAGAAGTAGGCACTCCCATAATAGTAAAGGTCTGTATAAGAGCATACTGCAGAAGCATTCTCTGAGGATTGAGGTGTAGCCCAAACAAATTTAGAATATGTATAAATGAACACATGCAAGTAGGGCAAACAAGGTCCAAGAAAAAAGGGCATGACAGCCATTTGCCATAATTCATTAGTATTTTTAATTCTGAGATTAACTCAAGCTATATGACTCTGATAGTGCTTTTAAAAAAAAATAAAAGGACATTCCTGAACAATTTATCTCACTTCTCTACCTGGGGTGGGGCACTGTACATGAAGTCAAGGAGCTTTAGTGTGTATGTGTTGATGTTCCTGTTCTGGAGAAGTAAAAATAGGGCAGGTTCATGCATCAGCTTGCTTATTTCCTCCTGCAATAAAAACACAGGGAGGTTAAAGTATGAGTAATAAACAAAAGATGTGTGCTGACTTCAACCAGATGTTGTAGCTCCTATAGTAATGAGAGAATAACAGGAAGTGAAGATAAAATTAAAGCTGCTTCTAATGGTAGAAATATTCCTACGGCATAAGCAGAATCTGAAACAATATTTAAAGGTTTATAAATTAACTGTGTTGTATTTTAAAAACGGTGCCACGGTGGCTTTGGCACATGGGGCCAAGGTGCCCCACAGCGGGTGAGGGAGACATCATGCAAATATGTGCCTGTGCCAAAAGGGGGCACAGCAGAAAGTCACTCATACCATGAAGATGGCACCCACGTGGAAAATGTTATTGGGGGGAAAGGGAGAAGGGAAGAGAGGGAAGAAGAGAAAGGGAAGAAAAGAAGAGAAAAAATGTGCACTACCTTATGGCAAGAGAGAAAGAGAGAAGAGGGAAGGGAGGGAGACGGAAGAAGGGGGAGGGAGAGAGGAGAGGGATTTTTTTTTCTTTTAAACAGGGTTTCTATGTGTAGCTTTGCACCTTTCCTGGAACTCACTCTGTAGTCCAGGCTGGCCTCAAACTCACAGAGATCTGCCTGGCTCTGCCTCCTGAGTGCTGGGATTAAAGGCGTGCACCACCGCCACCCAGCTGAGGGATTTTTTTCTTAAAGGAGACTTTACGTAAGATGACTAAGATAACGTGGTCAGGATGCTGGGCAGGTGCTGTGGGATGTTCTGTATGGCAAATGTGTTGCTCTGATTGGTTGGTAAATAAAACACTGATTGGCCATTGGCTAGGCAGGAAGTGTAGGCGGGACAAGGAGGAGAATAAAGCTGGGAAGTGGAAGGCTGAGTCAGAGAGACACTGCCAGCCGCCATGATGACAAACAGCTTGTGAAGATGCCGGTAAGCCACGAGCCATGTGGCAAGGTATAGATTAATGGAAATGGATTAATTTAAGCTGTAAGAACAGTTAGCAAGAAGCCTGCCACGGCCATACAGTTTGTAACCAATATAAGTCTCTGTGTTTACTTGGTTGGGTCTGACGACTGTGGGACTGGCAGGTGATAGAGATTTGTCCTGACTGTGGGTCAAGCAGGAAAACTCAAGCAACAGGCAGGTCCCCAAGGGGCAGGTCTGAACGCCAACATTTCTGAACAAACTGTAATACATGAATCACAACAGCTGGATCCAGCTGTTAAGCTCAGGAAGAAGAAGTATTAATAGACTGATGAATTTCTGGACTATAAATCCTTCCTAATCCATTAGATGAGCCATCAATAAAGTAAGTTTCTGCTGTGGAATGGGAGGTGTTTGGACAATTTTTTGAACCACCAGTTCAGGTCATATGAAAAATCCCATAGCTTGTCAGATGGATAATGATTTCCTAGCCTTTCACAGTAACCTGCAAATGATTTAAAAGTCCATAGAGATCTTTAACATGTTCAAGCACTCATTGTTAGTTAAGGATAATATAATACAGCAAAAATCAAATCTATATAATTGTTACTCTAAGGTCCTGAGCAAGAAGAGTAAGAAAAGCCAATAGTATTTTTTGCCCCTTATGGTGTAAATAAATCCATTCCAAAGGTTTATCTTTTGGTGCTAGAATACCTGTAGGAGACAATTAGTGGGAAATATAAAATATCATGAAGAATCCATGATACACACATGTCTCTTTTAGTCCGGATTCAAACACCTGTAGCTGGAGTTTTCCTGCCTGGCCCACAGTCAGGACAAACTCTCTCACCTGCCAGTCCCACAGCCTCTTAAACCCGACCAAGTAAACACAGAGACTTATATTGGTTACAAACTGTATGGCCGTGGCAGGCTTCTTGCTAACTGTTCTTACAGCTTAAATTAATCCATTTCCATTAATCTATACCTTGCCACATGGCTCGTGGCTTACCGGCATATTCACATGCTGTTTGTCATTGTGGCAGCTGGCAGTGTCTCTCTGACTCAGCCTTCCACTTCCCAGCTTTATTCTCCTCCTTGTCCCGCCTATACTTCCTGCCTAGCCAATGGCCAATCAGTGTTTTATTGACCAATCAGCAACACATTTGACATACAGAACATCCCACAGCACTTCCCCCCCCCTTTTTTTTTTTCAAAAAGGAAGACAATTTTCAAAAAGGAGACAATTAGTGGGAAATATAAAATATCATGAAGAATCCATGATACACACATGTCTCTTTTAGTCCGGATTCAAACACCTGTAGTTCTTACTTTGCCTCTGGAGGTAATATGTGAGGACTACCCAATGTTGCCTTTCCTTCTAGTTTTAAATAGAATGGTTAGTGCATTATTAGGTACTCCTAGAGGATGACACAGCCAATTAATACCCCAAATAATTTCTGAAACTCATTGTTCTTAAGTTGTCTTGTCTAATGGACTTTTGTGTGTGGTTTAATGGTTGTTCTTGTAACCAGTTTTCCTAAATATTGCAATTCTGATCTTTGTACCATTTCAGTGCAATAATTTCATTTTTTTGGCATATCCTGAGTAAAGTCATATATGAACTGTAGCTCTTCCTCTTTGGAGCAGGCAAACAGGATATCATCTATATATTTAATGATATAAGGCTAAGAGAAGGCCTTCTTCACAGGCTATGACACCTTTCCTATATAGTACTTATACATAATAGCGAAGTTTGTCATACCTTGAGGTAATAAAGTCCATTGATATTGGAGCAGAGGTTCTTTAAGATTGAGTGAGGGAACAGAAAAGGTGAAATGCACATTATCATCAGGATGAATACATATAGTATAAAAGCAATCTTTTAAATTCAAAACTATTGAAGGCCAATATTTAGGAATACCTGTGGGCATGAGTATAAACATGGCTGTAAACCTCCCATTGTCCAGTTAGTGTTTTGTGTCCTTTATGGTGTAAATAAATCCATTTCAAAAGTTTATCATTTTATGCTATATCTGTAGGTGAAAATTTAGTGGGGAAAATAAGTATGTTTAAAGACAATAAAGGATCTATACAATAAACAAATGTCTCTTTGGTCTGGATTCAATAGCTGCAACATTTAGATTTTGCTGAAGTTGCATTGGACATAACCAATTACAGCGCATTAGGTCAGGAAGGAATTGGCAAAGGAAGTTAGCTTTCCCACAGACTCTCCTAAGTTCTCATCAAATGGAGAATTCAAGATCTAGTTGATGAATAAATTACTTACCCCATGCTTCAGGGTCATTTTCAGAAAATGGATGACATATATCTAAAGGTGGCTCCAATAAGGGAACTGAGGGAACTGTCACCTGCGTAGATGTTGGTGATGCTATTTTTTACTTCCAATTGTCCCGGAACAAGAAAAATCAGCTTTTTTGCTTCTTTTACCCCTTTTGAGGTTTGATCATAAAGTTTACATTCATTCAAGGAATTCACTATCACTTCTTCATGAATATTATCCTCCTAATCTTCCTTAATCATTTTGATAACAGTCCAAGTTAATGAACAAGTGGCCCAAACTTGAACAGGGATCTTCCCCCTTGTTTATTAGCCTTTTCAATGTCCTTTTGGATTCTGTCCCATACCACTTCATCTAAAATTCCTTCTTCTGGAAACCAGGAATTATAATCATAAACATTTGCAAGCAATCCAATAGTTGTGGTTTTGATACTTGTGTTCCTCCTTACTCTAAAAAATGATGTGCTATATAGATATAAAGCAAAGCCTCCCCTGGTTTCTGCCACTTTATTCTCACTCACTTCCTTTTCTGTGGATCTTCACTCTCTTATCTCATAGCTGACTTCTGGTTCCTCATCAAGCACCACTTTTCACCACCCTAGAGACAGTAGGACCTGGGAGAATTGAGCCCATAGATATGGAGGACTAAAGTCTCATACAATAGCCAACTTTATTCGGAGGCCCAGAAAATTTATATTCTGCAGGTTAAGAAAGGTCACATGAGGAAGAAAGGTCTCATGAGTTCAAGCTGTATACAATGATAAAAACAAGCCACATGGGACAAAACATGTCTTTGCATACAGGCATATACATGATAGTTTAAGCATTTAATAAATAACAAAGCAAGCAATAATGTGTAATCTCAAGTGAACTCACTCCTACCCACTACACTTGGGAGGAGTGCAAAAACACATTCCAAGAACAATCTCATGTTTTGAAGAAACTGAGGTCACAAGCCTCTTGTCTTTTCTTGGATTGTTAACATAAGCATGTAGAATTCTCATCAATGACCCCTTTCTGGAAACCATGTTCCAATGGTACACCTAAATTAAATTTATTTTAATTTTAAGAAAAAACATAACATATACATGAAGAAGCTATTTTAAAAATATGAAGCATACACATATACAGATACATATATATCTGTCTTTGCACTACTTGCATACCTGGTGCCCAAGGAAGCCAGAAGAGTGGATCAGATCTCCAGAAAAAAGCTTTATAAGTAGTTCTGAACCATCAGACGTGAGTGCTAGGAACCAAACTTGGGTACCCAACAGCATCAGTACTACTGAGTCAAATCCCCAACTTGCCAATATGTCATTTATACTGTAGAAGATGGAGTTACACCATTACTGTTTCTGTCTTCTATCACTTAGAAAGATGAAATTCTCAACTATTTGGTCATTGAAGGAGTGACTGCTTTCTGTCGCTCTGTGAATGGACTCTGCACATTGTTTCTCATTGTTAACACAGTTCTCTCGATGTGAATGAAGACAACAAAAAATTTACTTGAGCCGGGCAGTGGTGGCGCATGCCTTTAATCCCAGCACTCGGAAGGCAGAGCCTTCTGTGAGTTTGAGGCCAGCCTGGACTACAGAGTGAGTTCCAAGAAAGGTGCAAAGCTACACAGAGAAACCCTGTCTCGAAAAACCAAAAAAAAAAAAAAAAAAAAATTTACTTGATTAGAGATGAGTCCAAATTATGTAGGGAAAGTTCCATAATATGATATTATGATATATTCTTTTTCAAAAAATACTTTATTTTTATTTTACATGCATAGGTGTTTTGTTTGTATGTACATATGTATGAGTGTGTTGGATACTTGGAACAGGACTTAGAGTTGTGAACTTCCATGTTGGTGCTGGGAATTGAAACTGTGTCATCTGGAAGAACAGCCAGTGTGTTTAAGTGCTGAACCATTCATAACCACTTTTTTTAAAATTTTTTGAGACAGGATTTCTTCATTAGAATTTCAACAATGAAACCAAAAAGTAAGCTGAGAAGAAAGAGGATTATCTGGCCTACACTTGTATATTGCTGTTCATCATTAAAGGAAGTCAGGACAGAAACCTAAATGGGGCAGGAACTTGGAGGCAGGAGTTGATGCAGAGGCCATGGAGGGGTGCTGCTTAGTGGTTTGCTTCCCATGCCTTGCTCAATCTGCTTTCTTTTAGATTCCAAGACCCTTCCCCATCAGTCTCTATTTTTAAAAATGCCTTATAGCAGATATTATGGAGGTATTTTCTCAATTGAGTTTCTCTCCTTTCAGATAACTCGTGTCACTTTTGTCAACTTGACATGCAAACACATCACTATTGAGCCACAACCCTTCCATTCTTATTCATTCCCAAGATCTCATATTAAAAACATAAATAGCTTTAATAAGTCCCACAATCTTTACAAATTCAAACACACTAAAATTTTTCTTTAAAAATATCCAATCTCACTAAAAATCCAAAGTCTCTATTAAAAGTTGAAGGTCTTTCAATTATGGCTTTTTTAAAAATCAAAGTTAAATACCTTCTCCCTTCAAGAGGGAAGAATCAGGGTAGTCACATTCTGCAAAACAGAAAAACAAACTCCAACAGTATAAATAACTCCACTATTAATGACTGGGATCCACTCACAACCTTCAGGGCTTCTCCAAAGGGTTTGGGTCACTTCTCTGGCTCCACCCTCTGCAGTTCCCACAACTTCCCTCCTAGGCTCTGACTGGTTCCACTTCACCACTGCCGATGATTTTGGTGGACACCCCATGGTACTGGTATTTCCAAAATGGCGGCGTCTTTGCTTCGTATGCAAAGTTTTACTTCTTTTATGAGGTTCATGGGATTTTTCTCTAGTATGTATTCTTTCATGATACTGAAGATGAGTCTTACGTGCAAAAGCTTTACCACATTGATTACATGCATAGGGTTTCACTCCAGCATGACTTCTTTCATGACTGAGAAGATTACTGCGAGATGAAAAGGCTATACCACATTGATTACATTCATAGGGTCTCTCTCCAGTATGACTTCTTTCATGCCGTTGAAGGTGACTATTATGTGTAAAGGCTTTACCACACTGATTACATTCATAGCGTTTCCCTCCAGAATGACTTCTTTCATGCCTTTGAAGATGACTGTTATGTACAAAGGCTTTACCACACTGGTGACATTCAAAGGGTTTCTCAACAGTATGATTTCTTTCATGCCTTTGCATACTACTAGGATATGCAAATGTTTTACCACATTGACTACATTCATAGGGCTTCTCTCCAGTGTGACATCTTTCATGTATTTTAAGTTCACTGGGACGTGCAAAGGCTTTTCCACATTGATGACATTCATAAGGTTTCTTCCCAGTATGAATTCTGGGCACTTGAAGATAACTTTGACATGCAAAGTCTTTATCATCTTGATTATAGTCATAGGGTTTCATTTTCAAATGCATTCCTTGATGTAATTGTAAAGAGCAACCAGATGTAAATGTTTTGTCACAGTGTTTACATTCACAGGATTCCTCTTCATTATGGATTCTTTCATGTGTTTGAAGAAACTTGGGATGGTTCAAGCCTTTTGTACATGGTTCACATTTACAACATCCTTTTCCCATATGAGTTTTTTCACTTCTCTGAAGAGAACTGGAAGAACTCAGAGTTTTACCACACTGATTGAATTCATAACATTTTCCTATAGTGTGAGTCACATTACATGTGCAATGTGAACCAGGCCAGACAGAAGAATTTCCACATTCCTTGTACTCACAAGGCTCTTTTCCAATGTGAGTTTCTTGATGTGTTTCCGGTGAAGTTGGAAATCCTATTAATTCTGTCCTTGTATCATGATCACCATGTCTTCTCATAGTGGGCACTACTACATATCTCCTATTTTTTCTGGGAGAGACAGAAGTACATTGCTTCTTTCCATATCCTTTATGTTCACATGGCTTGTATCCAGAGTGATAGATCATGTACCTATTAAAAGAATAATAACAAATAAAAGATTGTCACAATGGATTGACACAGTTTAACTTTTTGTGTCTCATAGAGATGTGGTATAGGGATTAAGGTCTCTCCATCACAACAACATCCTTGACTCTCATAAACTGCCCTTCTCACTAAACTTTGGTAAGTCTCTTCAAGTATATGAGTAACGCTAGCTTACCTAAGGGACAATTTGCTTATAAAAGGCCTTGGACATACCTTAATCCCTTAATCAATGTGAATGCCTTTACAATACTTGAATGGAATGAAATTAAATGGATATATAGCTCTACAACATGGATCTCAGGGGACTATGATTAATATGGTGACATCTGTTAGGACACTGTTTCCTTGTCTTGTTTCTCAAAGGACCACCTTGCAGACATAGACTACCTACCTGAAATCAAGGTACATGATGCTGTAAAAATTTATTAATAATCACAAAGCTATTATTATTTATACTGTTGCTTTTCATTAAATATCAGGGCACATTAAAATTTCTTCAGAGATACAAATCTATCACCTTGCACAAGAAACTTACCTTCCATGTCTTCTAGAACTTTGACAATGTTCTTCAATATTCTCGTCTTCCCATTTGTAGCCTAAAATATAGTACCAGAAAAGAATGATACATTATTGGAAATTATGCAAAATTTGAGTTATTATCTTCAGTGAACCTTAGAACCTTGCCTGACTTGTTCACCATATTCGTTCACTTTCACAGTCAAAATCACAGTGGATCACCAATGTCCAATAAAGGCATGTCCCCTTAAGTTAAAAAGGGAAGGAAAACTCACATTCTTACCTACAGCAGAGAGGTTCCAGTAGGTTTCCAGCATCACATCTTTGTAGAGACTCTTCTGACAAGGATCCAGCAAAGCCCACTCTTCATGGGTGAAGTTCACATGCACATCCTCATACGTCACTGCATCCTAAAGTATCCCAAATATGTACATAATAGAAATGTTGAGGCTGACTGCACTGAAAATGGACATTTCGTTGTGAATATAATTTCATAATTCTGTGTGCTCAACAAATTTATTTCATATCACAGAATTTCAAATGCAATTACCAAATCATTTTAGAAGAAAACAGAAAAGAAGGACCATGACCTTTATTTCTGGGCCCTCTGAACAGTACATGGCATTGCAAGAGAAATGCTGACTTACATATATAGAAAGATATGCAAACAGAGCAATAGTACTGAGTAAACATCAACTAAATTGTTCAAAATTACTGACATCAAAAAGTGATGGCTAAAATGGGCATGCTGGCACACACTTTTAATCCCAAAAACTCAGGAGGAAGAGACAAGTGAATTTCTGTGATTTCCAGGACAGCTTGGTCCATGTATTGACTTCCAGGACAGCCAAAGGTACACACTGAGACCCTGTCTCAAACAAAGAGAAAAAGAAAAAGAGAGCACTCGGGGCTTACTCTAAATTCCACTAATGAGTTAAAAATTCACTCAAGATATGTTCTTATCTCTCAGAAAACTGGAATGCCTCATTTAAACTATAAGGCTAATATGATAGCCTTGAGAAGAAATAAATTTTTTATAAGTTATTGCCTGACAGATTGAAGGGTTCTCAAAAACATTAGTGAGTAAAGGGTTATGCTAGAGAGAGAGACAGAGACAGAGACAGAGAGAGACAGAGAGAAAACAAACATGGTAGAGTATACAGAGGGTCAACAGTTAAAAATCATCTGTTGCTTTCACAGAGGACCTGCATCAATCCCCAACACTCACTTGGAGGTCTCAACAATTTGTAACTCAAATTCAAGAGAATCCAATGCTCTCTTGTGATTTCAGTGAACATCAGGCACACACAAGGTACATATGCATATATCTCTACAGGCAAAAGACTCACACACACATTTCAAAAATTTTTTTTAAAAATTAAAACATGCATAAAGATATGGAGAAAGTTAAACGTCTGCAACGTAATGACTCAGGAGATACGCATTAATGTCATGAATGCATGCCATCCCAGTGGGTAAAAAAAAAAAATGATATTTTCTGCCAAAGTTGAAAAGTAAAGAAGTGGGTAAAGTTCAGCACAAGAGCAAATGCTTCACATGTACAAAAACCTAATTCTACCAGGCAAAAATATGAAACTGAAAATATCAGAGCAGAAAAATGGCTTAGCAAGGAAAAGCAATTGCTTCTGTTTTATCTTATGTAATTTAGGGATGGAATCTGTTATGAGTGTTATGGCGTGGCTACATGAGAAGGAAGGGGGCTGCTCAGTTTCAACCACAAAAAGAAGACAAGTGTGGTCAGGGTAGAAATACTCAACATTCATCCCCAGAGACTAACATACTCCAAAAAAGCCTCTCATCCTAGAGGCACCTTGATGAAAACCACAAACCAGAGACAAAGTCTCAAATACATCTTCGTACTTGGGAGATTTTTCATTCAACCCACCACATTTTGACACAGATCATGATAGGCTCACACTCAATGCATACTGCAATTAGTCCACCACAAAGATCCCCATATTCTGAACAGTCCCAACACTGTTAGAATGTACAAAGTTTCTTCTCACACTGACAGCAGTCTCTTGACTGTGTTATCTTGTGAAATCAAAACACAAATTATAGCTACACAACACAAGGTACAGAATACACATTTCCTTTTCAAAGAAGTGAGGAAAGACTGGACCAAGGCAAGACTAAAACCCTGCTGGGCAAACACCAAAACCTGCAGTTCTGTGTCAGATACCTGGGGCTTCAGTTTCAAAGGGCTTAGATGGCTCTTCTTGTTTGAAACTTTTCACACATCTCTCTCATTGGCTACTTCCACTCCCTACATACAGCTATTCATGGCAGGTGTCTCAGAGCTTGGGTATCTCAACATCTAGTGGTCTCAAAATGCAACCCAAGCTTCATTTTCACACCTTCATATAATGAAGTATCACAGTCTCCTCACTGGGGATATGCTATGCCAAACAGGTGGCTATAACAGTGCTGAACTGAAAGCACAAAAGAATCCATAACATTTAAATTGTGCATGTTTACTCTTTCAATAAAACATGACATATCAATGATGCATCTACATGGCTTCTAGCTTTGGATTGACCCTGCCCCATTGGAATAGATCAACAACAAGTTCTGTATGAAGTTGTTTTCTGGGACTAGGAATCTTGTTTCCTTTTCTTTCCATAATTCAATGCTTGGCTGGGTGTGTTGTACTCTTGCAACACCTTTTCTATATTTCCAAAGTGGAGCAGGTGCCTTCTCTTTAATGGCCCTAACCTCCCTAATAATTACAGCCTCTGTTTCAACATGTAACTGCCACTGGAAACTACCTAGTGCTGTTTTTCTCGCCACACCACATAGGTTTCATTAACTTCAGCCCCTTTTGTTGCTCTTTTCCTCTATGGATCTGCATGAGTCATCAGTAATAACCAAGCCAAGAACGAAATGTTTTGTCAAGACAGTACATGACTTTTTAATTTAGCCTTACTCATTTTCACAGGACATGGGACGAATATATACAGCCAATATGCCAAAATATTACACAAAACATCTATCTTAGTTACTACCATTTTCCTGAGAAGAAACACTGTGACCAAGGTGACTGTTACAATGCAAAGCTTTTTACTTTGGGACTTGATTACACAGACAGAGGATTAGTCCATTATCATCATGAATGGTAGCATCAAGGTAGATAGATATGCATGGGGCTGAGACTAACATCCTGATACACAGACATGGAAGCAGAAACACTTGTCTTAGCTTGGGCTTTTTAAACCTGAAAGCCCACCTATAGTTTCACCTTAACAAAGAAGACAACCTACTCCCACAAGAGCATACCTCCTAATTTTACACAGTTAGTTCCACTAACTGGGGACCAAGCATTCAAAGATAGGAGCCTGAGGGTCTTGAGGAACTATAAACCATAAAAGAAATATAACCTAAGTAGAAAGAGCTCTAAAGGAAAAGAGTGAAAGAAACTGAAGGAAAATGGAGTAAGAACAAAGGAGAGGGAGAGAGAGAAACAAAAGGAAGAAAATAATTACCCCAAAAAGAGGGGAGCAGTACTTCTTGCCAGGTTACAGGCTTTATCAATGTAACCTTCCCTACCCCATGTAAGAAGAGATTAAATAATGCAAGACCTCCAAAATTAGATTTAAGTCCCTAGCTTTTCTCTGAGTCCATGGCATTATCCTTTCTTTCCCTCCCTATCGAGTTATCTCAGAGAACCTGGGAAACCTTGGATCAGGTTTGCTAGAAGCAGTGAAGTCAGTCTCTTGGTGTCTTCAATGTGACTGCTGTATATGATGCCATCTGGAAGACGAATTTTTAACTGGGTAGAAGTGCCTCACAAGGCTACTAAGGTTTTAAATTCAATTTCACTAGTTTAGCAAGTTGGATTCTGAAGGTCTTAAATTCCAGCCAACCTGGAGAGTCACAGATCCATCTGATCACAGCCTAGATCATATTCTACTGGGATAAAATGGGGCCAAGCAACATGTTATGTCTGAGGACTGAGGAGAAGGTGAACACCTGGAAGACAATGCTTGGCCTCCACAGTTATAATCTGAATGGACTCAACTGTCTCTGCTTGAGGGCACAGAATTCTTTCCTCTACTCCTTTGCTGTGTGGAGCCTACAAGCCTAGGCCATAGGTGCCATCTCCTCCTATATTCATGCTAACCTAATTAAAATGTCCTTTTAAAGAAATGGTGTAACAGTGCACATTTAAACTTTAAGAAAGGTGAGTCCCACCTGGACTTGTGCGTGATGGAGGATGGGAAAGTCTTAGCAGGGAGCTGAGCCAACCATGAAAAGAAAGCAACTTTGTGATTTGCAGCCATCTTGGCTAGTATATCAATAGTATATTATAAAAATTCAGAATTTTAGCTACTGATTCAACAAAAGACCAATAAAAGGTCAAAAAAATTATGCTACCAACAACAGAAAACTTATGGCAAAAGGTCATCATGAATAGAAAAGAGATCAACATAAGATTGAATAAACAGCACACACAGTGACATCATCTGACTTCAAAACTTTGAACACAACTACAAGATTGTATTGTCTGGGAAAGAATAAAGAGATCAACAGAACATGAGAGCAAACAGACAAGATAACAATTAAAATATAGTCAGTGTTGAACAATGTGACTAGAAAACCCAGTAAGTATGGCCTTACTAACACAAGTAACTGGAACACTGTGTAATTTATATACAAATGTATTAATAACACAGATTTTAAGATCTGTACAAAATTAATTCCAGTGGGATCCTACACCTGTGTTAAGTGGGAAGTTCAGAACTTTGAGAAGATAATAGAGAAACTAGGGCTCAGCTAGTCAGCAAATCTGCCTTCCATGGAGACAATAAAAGCAGTAGAGCTATGCTCTCTGCAAGGTGAGGTCAACAATAAGCATGTTTCCACACAAAGGCTCCTGCTCCCCATGCTCAGGAAGGAAGGCATGACAGGAACTCAAGCACATCAGGAACCTGAAAGCAGGAGCTGATGAAAAGGTCATTTTTTTCTATCACGTGGGTCCTGGGGTTGAACTCAAGTCATCAGGCTCAGGAGCAAGCACCTTAACCGCTTGCAGGTATTCTTTTTTTCATGAGTTATGACATCATATGTTGTTTTGCTGTGGGGTCAAGGTTTCCCTATATAGGCCTGAGTGGTCTGGAACTCTATGCAAACATTAGGTTAAACTTGCTTCCATCATTGTGCCTCTGCGACCTGAGTCCTGGTATTACACTGTGCACAGGCACACACAGCTGCATTTGGTTTAGGAGGACAATGTCCCAAGCAGTTCAGGCTGGCCTCAAGTTCAGTAAACAGCTGAGGTTCGCCTTGCATTTTTTCCATACCAAGCTCGGTTAGTTAACGATCTGCCTTCCACCAGGCGCAAGGAAAGCGGCGCATGCGCGCTCACAACATGGTGACGTCACAATAAGAAACTATCGGAGCACAGTACCCACATCCCTGTGTTCAGCCCCAGGTGGAAGTTATTTCAGAGGCCGCAGGACCCGGGAGTTGCAGGGACTGCAGGAACGTCGGGGGACTCACGTGATCACACCAGGCGCGGCGTCCAGCTGCCGGTTCCCACAGCCCCGGGACGCCACCCCGGCTCCCCCGACTCCTCCCCCGGTGGGGACGGCGGCCCCGTGCTCACCATGGCGGATTCCGGCAGCGGGTCACAGCGAAGCACTCGGAACACCAGAGTCTCCTCAGCCCCGGAGCCGCCGAGCCTGCAGCATGGCGGACCGGAAGTACCCTCCCCATTCTGACTGGCAGTCCTTCTGGAGGCCCTGATTGGCTAATGCGTCCAGAATGACAGGAGCAGTTCTCTTAGAAACAAAGTGTTGTAAAGAGACACAGCACCATGATTCCCAGCCCTGGCTTCCACCCCAGGCACAGAACTGTCCCAGACCTGCAGAGATTGGCATGCAGCAGAATTTCAAAGATCTCCATTTTATCTAACAGTCCCAACACTGTCCAATGTACAAAGTTTCTTCTGAAAATCTAAGCAATGTCTTAAGAGAATGTGGCATCTTGTAAAATCGAAACACAAATTATGTATGCCCAACACACAATGGCACAGAATACACATTTCCCTTTCAAAGAAGTAAGGAAAGATCGAAAAAAGGCAAGACTGAAACGCTCCAGGGCTAACACCAAATCCTGCAGCTCTGTTTCAGACATCTGGGGATTCAGTTTCAAAGGGCTTAGATGGCTCTTTTTCACTGCAACTTCTCATACATCTCTCTGTCTCTTTGCCTACTGCCACTCCCTACACGAAAACTTTTCATGGCAGTGTCTCAAAGCTTGGATATCTCAACACGTTATGGTCTCAAAATTGTTGGAATGAAGTCTCACAGTCTCCTCACTAGAGATTGGACTAAGCCAAACAGATGGCTGCAACACGGCTGAATGCACAGAGGGGGAAAAAATGCATGACCTTTAAATGTTGCATCTTTCTTCTTTCAAGAAAAAGTAGAACATAGATGATACCACCATGCAGGGGCCTGGCTTTGGATGGACCTGGCCCTATTGGAACAGAGCAGCAGCGATGCTGTGTGAAGTTGGTTTGGGGGACTAGGAATCACCTTCCTTTCCCTTCCATAGTTAAATGCTTGGCTGGGTAAGCATTTTTTTACAACACCTTTTCTATATTTCCAAAGAAGAGCAAGTGTCTTCTCTCTAATGGCCCTAACCTCCCTGATAATTCCTGCCTTCTGTTTCAGCACATACTGCCCTCTGAAACTATCTAGTGCTGTTTTTCTTTCCAAACGACACAGGTTGCATTAACTCCCCGCCCCCCATTGTTGCTCTTTTACTCTATGGACCTGCAGGAGTCATCAAACCATATGTTTTGTCAAGACAGTCCATTCCTCTTTAATTCAGCCTTACTCATTATCACTGGACATGGGCACAATACAGAGAGATAATATGCCAAAATATTACACAGACAACCTGTCTTAATGGCTTTTCTGCTGCTGTGAGGAAATATTATGACCAAGGTGACTCACACTGGAAGTTTTCTAATTTGGGGCTTGATGACAGAGGAATAGGCCACCATTATCCTGGATGGTAGCATCATGGTGGGAAGGCATGGCACTCAGTCACACATACTGATACAGAGGCAGGAGGCTGAGAGAAACATTTGGTTTGGTCTGGGCTCTTGAAACTTCAAATCCCACCTACAGTGACACACCTTAACAAACAAGGTCACACCAACTCCCACAAGGACACACCTCCTACTGCTACATCAAACATTTGAATATTGGAGCCTGAGGGTGGAGAGCACAATATAAACCATGAAAGGAATATAACCTAAGGAGAAAGAGCTCTAGAGGAAAAGACAGAGAGTGAAAGATATTGAGAGAGAGAGAGAAAGAGAGAGAAAGAGAAACAGCCCAAAGGAAGCAAGTATTTCCCAGAATTAGGGTGGATCCAGTCCCTCTGGCTTGGCAATATACTTCCTTAATATAACCCCTCTATTACGATCAATCCACATGAGTCTATTAAATGCATAACAATTTATTAAGATATAAATTTAGAAAATGCACTCACAATTACAGATTACCACCTCCTCTGGGCCATATAGTCCAAGGTCATGGGCAGAGCAAATATCACTATAACCCTCCCTATCCCATCTAAGAGGAAATTAAACAATGTGACACCTCCAAGCTTAGTTTTAAGTCTATCATTTGTCTGAGTGCGTGGTATTATCCCTTGTTTTCCTCACTATACAGTTCCCTCCGGAAACCTTGAAATCTTGGACTAGATATGGTGGAAGCAAAGAAGGCAGTCCCTAAGCGTGACTGTGGCAGATGATGCCATCTGGAAGCTGCATTAACTGTGTAGAAGTACCTCACAAGGCTACTAAGGTTTTAATTTTCATTTAACTATTCTAAGAAGTTTGAATCTGAAGGTATGATGGTTTATTTGATAATAGATTGCTGCAGGCTCATGATACACAGCACAGGTTGCCTGATAACTTTGTGGCACATTTTAAAAGGTTCAGCTTCTTCTATGGCACAAGAGCAGTGTAGCCCCAAACTCTCTCAAAAGGAGAATAGTTGTCTGCAGATGAAGGTAGAACCTTGCTCTGAAATCTTAAAAGTGTCTTCCGTGAGTCACCTATAGGGGACACCAAAAGGCTCCAAACAGCACCCCAATCTGCCACTGGCATGGGAAGTACCATCCAGTCTGCTGGATCATGGTTTAAGTGGTAGCACAGTAGCCTGAACCTTCTCCTGTTCCAGGCCACACACGATAGCAGCTTTCCATGTCACTTGGTGCATGTACCAGAAAAACCAACCCAAGTGAGGGATGTGCTGTCTCCAGAATCCAAACAGGCCCAATGAAAGTTGTGCTTTTTTCTTGGTGCTGGGAGGGACCAGGTACAATAACTTACCCTTCACCTTAGATGGAATATCTCTATATGTCTCACATCACTGAACTCCTAAGAATTTCACTGAGGTAGAAGGCTCTTGAATTTTGATTGGATTTATGTCCCATCCTCTGATTCACATATGTGTTACCAATGAGTTTCATGTGGTTACTCCCTCCTGCTCACTTGGTCCATTCAATATATCATCATTAATACAGTACAACAATGTGATATTTTATGGAAGAGACACATGATCAAGAACCCTTCTAAACTAAGTTATGACATAGAGCTGTAGAGGTAACATATTGTTGAAGTAAAGCTATGCTGCTGGCCTTGGCCACTGAAAGAAAATTGCTTCCGGTGGTCATTATGGACAGACACTGAGAAAAAGGCATTAGCCAGATCAATAGCTGCATATCATGTCAGAGGAGATGTGTTAATTTGCTCAAGTAAAGACACCACATTTGGTACAGCAGATGCATTGATGTCACTGTTAGTATTCTGACCCACCTAGAGTCCTGACTCCATCCTACGTTCCCATTAAGAAAAAACTTCTCTCTCTCTCTCTCTCTCTCTCTCTCTCTCTCTCTCTCTCTCTCTCTCTCTCTCTCTCTCCACTCTCACCAGAGATAGCACATACCTCTCTCTCTATCTCCCTCTCTCTGTCTCTGTCTCTGTCTCCCCCCCTTTAATAATAAAACTTGCCAAATGGACATTGCATGTGCCATGTTAATAACTTTCCACTGTGACATGCTACCATCCACTGCACCAGTATGGTGTGTCTCACCCACCGTAGGGCACCTTGGTCCAAACCCACCAAGGCCTCTCGAGCACCATTTCACAACATGAATAGTCATTATGTGATTGAGTTTTTGATAGTCAACTGTCATTCTTCATGATGCACCTGTCATCTGCACTGACCAGCGTTAAAGGGGGATATGATGCGAACCACCACTCTGAATCTTTCAAGTCCTTCATGGTAGAACTGATTTCTGCAATTCCTCCAGGGATGCAATGCTAGTTTTGATTCACTATTTTCCTTGGAAGACCCAACTCTATAAGAGTCTATTTAGCCTTTCCAAACTTAATAGTCCTTAACTGGACAGGTCAGGGATCTATTAGGAGAATTCTGCCGACTTCTGTGTGTGTGTGTGTGTGTGTGTGTGTGTGTGTGTGTGTGTGTGTGTCTGTCTGTCTGTCTGTCTATGTGTACATGCTACTGTGCAACCATGGGAGGGCAGAAGACACTTCCAGGAACCCATTTGTCCTTCTGCCATGGATACCAGGGACTGAACCTAGGTCCTCGGGCTTGGCTCACACATTTTTACTCTGGACCATCTAGATAACCCTTCTTTTTTGTTGTTTTGTTGTTGTTGTTGTTGTTTGTTTGTTTGTTTGTTTGTTTGTTTGTTTGTTTTTCAAGACAGGATTTCTCTGTGTAGTTTTGGTGCCTGTCCTGGATCTCACTGGCTGACCTCAAACTCACAGAGATCCTCCTGGCTCTGTCTCCCGAGTGCTGGGATTAAAGGCGTGCACCAACACTGCCCAGCTTGCTAACCCTTCTTAATGGTTTTTGCTGAATAATGTTACATCCACTGCAAATTTTCTCAAATTCATGTGTTTGACAATATAGTTGTGTAAAATAATGAAGTGTGTAATAATGAAAACAGTAGTATTTTCTATGTGAAATGGCAGTGACTATGAGGGGACATGGCAGTGAACATATTCACCAGATTCCGAGAAAAGCAGACAAAGGACAGGTGGGGTGGCTTATCAGGCAAAGGCATTTGCCATGAAGCCTGATGACATGAGATTCATGTCCTGGCCTCATATGTTGAAGAAGAGAATCAGTTCCTGTGAACTGTGCCCTGATCACTCCATGTGCACTGTGGTATGTGAAGCTGTGCACACACACATAACCCCCACTCACTCATAAAATAACTCCTGCAAGTTATCCCGACTTTGATAACTTGCACTGAGAGGCACATGTGCACCCAAATACACAAATAAATTAGTATAATTTTAAAATAAGAAGGTAAGCGAACAGAAGAAGCATTGTCGTTGTGTAAGCTGTAGTAGCTCCACAGTGAGGTCAGACAGTAGAGGAAAGCTCTCAGGGGGACATCTGGTGGAGAGGGCAAGAGGGCCTTGTACTCACGGAGACACCCTAAGAGAACCAGGAATGTTAACCACACAGGGGTGTCTCCTCAATGGAGGAGATGAAATCAAACACCTGCATTCCATCCAGAAAGCTAAGAGTGGGTTTTGTTAATGACCTGGTGACCTTTTGGCTGTCTGTGGAAGTAGACCTCACCCAAATTCCTCAGAATGATTATCCCAGACTCTTCCCTCCCTAGGCCATTATTCGTCT